TGAGTAGTACTCCATGCTATGGGTGTATCACAGTTTGTTTAACCACTCTAAGGTTAAAGGACATCCGGAATATTCATGTATAAATTTTTGTGTGAACACAAGTCTTCATTTCTCTGGGATAAATACCCAGAAGTGCAGTTGCTGGTTAATACGGTAGCTGCATGTTTACATTTGTCAAAAAACAAACCAGTTCCCAGAGTGGCTCTACCATTTTCATCCTACCAGCAATGTATAAGTGATCAGTTCTCTGTATTCTTACTAGCATTGGGTATTATTGTCATTATTTTTTTATTTTAGCCATGCTGATAGATGTTTTGAGATCTCTCATAGTGGTTTTAATTTGCCTTTCTCTAGTGGCTAATGATTTTAAATATCTTTTTGTGTGCTAATTTGCCATCAGTATTACCTCTTTGGTGAAATGTCTGTTCTTGTCTTCAGCTGACTTTCTGCTTGAATTCTTTTTAAACTGTTCAATTTGGGGAGTTCTTCCTATATTCTAAATACTAGTCCTTTCCTAAATATGTAGTTTGCAAATATTTCTCCTGATCTGTAGCTTGTCTTTTCATCCTTTTAACAGGATTTTTTACAGACCAAAAGTTTTTTAATTTGATGAGGTCCAACTTATCATTTTTCTTTTCTTTCTTTCTTTTTTTTGAAGTGTAATTGACATATAACACATTTGCTTCAGGTGTATAATATGATTCATTATTTGTATATATTGTGAGTTATCACTACAATAAGTCTGTTTAATGTCTCTCACCTTTCATTATTAGAAAAATGGTTTTCTTGTGATGAGAACTTTCAAGACTTACTCCCTTGGGAACTTTGAAGCATGCAATACAGTATTACTAACTGTAGTCACCATACCGTATATTACATTCTTGTGACTTACTTATTTTGTAATGAGAATTTTGTATCTTTGGACTCCCTTCACCTACTTCACCTTTCCCCACTTCTTGTAACTACCAGTCTGTTCTCTGTATCTATGAGGTTGGGGTTTTTTGTTTGTGGATTTTTTGTTGTTTAGATTTCACACATAAGTGAGATCATATAGTATTTGTCTTTCTCTGACTTACTTCATTTAGCAAAATGCCCTCAATCTATTCGTGTTGTCACAAATGCCAAGATTTCCTCTTTCTTATGGCTGAATAATATTCCATTGTATATGTATACCACATTCTCTTTATCCATTCATCTGTCTGTGTACAAGTAGGTTGTTTCCATATCTTGGCTATTTTAAATAATGCTGCAGTAAACATTGGGGTGCATATATTTTTTTGAGTTCAGGTTTTCATTTTCTCTGGGTAAATACTCAGGAGTGAAATTGCGGAATCATATGGTAGTTCTCTTTGTAGTTTTTTGAGGAACCTCCATAGTGTTTTCCATAGTGACCGCACCAGTTATAGTCCCATCAACAGTGCACAAGGGTTCCCTTTTCTCCACATCCTCACCAAACTTGTTATTTCTTGTTTTATTGATAATAGCCCTTCTTACAGGTGTGAGGTGATAGCTCATTATAGTTTTGATTTGCATTTCCCTGATGATTAGTCATGTTGAATGCTGTTTCAGATACTTTTTAGGCATCTGTTATATCTTTGGAAAAACGTCTGTTCAGATCCTTTACCCATTTTTTAATTGGATTGGTTCTTTTGCTGTTGAGTTGTATGAGTTCTTTATATATTTTGGATATTAACCCCCTAGCAGATACACAATTTGCAAATATTTTCTCCTGTTCAGTAGGTCACCTTTTCATTTTGTTGATGGTTTCCTTTGCTGTGCAGAAGCTTTTTGGTTTGATGTGGTCCCACCTGTCTATTTTTGCTTTTATTGCCTTTGCTTTTGGTTATCAAATCCAAAAACTCATCACCAAGACCAGAGTCCAAACTTACTTGCCTATATTTTCTTTAAGGAGTTTTATGGTTTCAGGTCTTATGTTCAAATCTTTAATCCATTTTGAGTTAATTTTCATGGATGGTGTAATACAGTAGGACAGTTTCATTCTTTTGCATGTTGCTGTCCAGTTTTCCCAACACCATTTCATTTTTAAAATTTACTTATTTACTTTAGAAAGAGAGAGCACGAGCAGGAGGGGCAGAGGGAGAGAGAGAATCCCAAGCAGACTCTCCGCTGAGCGTGGGGCACAACGCAGGGCCCAATCCCATGACCCTGAGACCATGAACCGAGCCAAAAGCAAGAGTCGGATGCCCGGCCGACTGCACCACCCTGTCACCTCACCACTTACTGAAGAGACTGTCCTTTCTCTTTGGATACCCTTGGCTCCTGTGTGGTAAACTAATTGACCATATATGTGTGTGGGTTTATTTCTGGGCTTTCTGTTCTGTTCCATTGATCTATGTGTCTGTTTTTATGCCAGTACCATATTGTTCTCATTTTATATATTGTGCTTTTGGGTATGTAGTTCCAGAACCCTTTGCCTAGCCCTGGATGCTAAAAATTCTCTGTTTTTTTCCCTAAAGATTTTATAGTTTCACATTTTATATTTAAGTCTATAATCCATTGTGAGTTTTTTTTTGTTTTTGTTTTTGTTTTCAAATTAAATAGGCTAGAAGTCCAGGTACAGCATATCTCAGGTAGGTTCTAGCTCGGAGTTTTACCAGGCTGACATTAAGGTGTCTGCAGGGCTCCATTTTTGTTTGTTTGTTTTTGAAGGCTCTAGGGGTGGATGTATCTGCTTCTAAACACATTCAGGTTGTTGGCAGATTTCAGTTTCATGTGGTTGTCAGACTGAGGTTCTTTTTCTTGGTTGTCAGCTGAGGGTGATTCTCCCCCTGTAGAAGCCACCTGCATACTCTGACTTGTTGCCACTTTCTTCTTCCATCCAGTGTGGTTGGTTGGATTTTCATCCTGCTTCTGTTCTTTCTGACCTTTCCTTCTGCCTCTTATCTCCTACTTTGAACCAGAGAAAATTCTCTGCTTTTAAGAGCATATGTGATTTTTAGAAAGTTTTTATTTAAATTCCAGTTAGTTAATTAGTTTTGGGTGAACAATATAGTGAGGTAATTTTTGTACAGAGTGGTTTAGGTCAAGATTCTCTGTCTCTGGGCACCTGTTGGGTGGCTCAGTCAGGTGAGGGTCTGACTCTTTTTTTTTTTTTTTTTTAAACATATAATGTATATAGTGTATTATTTGTTTCAGGGGTACAGGTCTGTGATTTCATCAGTCTTGCACAATTCACAGCGCTCACCATAGCACATACCCTCCCCTGTGTCACCCAGCCACACCATCTCTCCCACTCCCCTCCCCTCCAGCAACCCTCAGTTTGTTTCCCGAGATTAAGAGTCTCTTACGGTTTGTCTCCCTCTCTGGTTTCGTCTTGTTTCATTTTTCCCTCCCTTCCCCTATGATCCTCTGTCTTGTTTCTCAAATTCCTGATATCATTGAGATGATATAATACTTGTCTTTCTCTGATTAACTTATTTCACTTAGCATAATACCCTCTAGTTCCATCCACATTGTGGCAAGATTTCATTTTTTTGATGGCTGCATAATACTCCATTGTATATATATATATACCACATCTTCTTTATCCATTCATCTGTTGATGGACATCTAGGCTCTTTCCACAGTTTGGCTGTTGTGGACATTGCTGCTATAAACATTGGGGTGCACGTACCCCTTCGGATCACTACATTTGTATCTTTGGGGTAAATACCCAGTAGTGCAGTTGCTGAGTCATAGGGTAACCCTATTTTCAACTTTTTGAGGACCCTCCATACTGTTTTCCAGAGTGGCTGCACCAGCTTGCATTCCCACCAACAGTGTAGGAGGGTTCCCCTTTCTCTGCATCCTCGCCAACATCTGTCGTTTCCTGACTTGTTAATTTTAGCCACTCTGACTGGTGTGAGGTGGTATCTCATTGAGGTTTTGATTTCTATTTCCCTGATGCTGAGGATGTGAAGCACTTTTTCATGGGTCTTTTGGTCATTTGGATGTCTTCTTTGCAGAAATACCTGTTCATGTCTTCTGCCCAGGGTCTGACTCTTGATCTCAGCTCAGGTCTTGATCTCAGGGTTGTGAGTTCAAGCCCCATGTTGGGCTCCATGCTGGGCCTGGAGCCTGCTTTAAAAAACAAACAACAAAAAAAAGATGCTCAGTCTTGTGTTCTGGGTTTTTTTTCTTACAGATGTCTAATTGCTCCAGCACTGATTCTTCCACCATTAACTTGGTTTTGCATATTTGTATGGATCTATTTCAGGAGTTTTTGTTTTGTTTTGTTTTAATACTACACAAAAGCCCATGTTCATTATAGGCATCTTTAAAAGATGTGAAAAAGCAGAAAAAGTTGAGTCTTATCAAAGAGAGCCTCTCTTAAATTTTCTTTCTGTCCTTTTCCTGGGGTATTTTTGTTCATCCTTGCTGTTTCAGATAGAAATAGGGTTATTTGAATGATCCTCTAATAATTTATTGTGTAACATCTTTTTGCTGCTTAAAATTCAAGCTTTCAGCTTTTATTTTGTTTTGTTTTAAAGACCCCTCTGGTTACTATCTTGGTTCAGTTAACCTTGTAGATAATTACTGGATTAAAAGATTTGGGTATTTTCAGATTCTTGATATTTCATTGCCCCATTGCTTCTGAGGGGGTTTTATACCATTTATATTTTACTATTGTTACGTACTTTATCTATAACAGCAGTGGATTTTTGAGAATTTCCCTGAATGATTTTAACATGAATTTTCATAATATTCAGATATTCCTTACTAGCTCTTAGCTTGACTTCCGTTGAATGAAAATTGTATGAGAATCTTAGTGATTAGTACTGGATAAAGTAGAAATCAGATAGCATTTACCCGTATAACAAATGTAGTTTACATTTTATAAATCATTACAATTTATAATAACATACAGTTGAGATTTAGATAAAACAGATGGGTTTGTTTTAAGGTTGCTTTTATTAAAAAAAAAACTTTCAGTATGAACATTTACTTCAAAGTAATGCTTATGTGATTTTGATGGTATGATTTTGCCTCCCTTCAAACAGAAAGCAATAGATCTTGCTGGCAAAGCAGCCCAGGAAGACAAAGCTGGGAACTATGAGGAAGCTCTTCAACTCTACCAACACGCTGTTCAGTATTTTCTTCATGTAGTTAAATGTAAGGTCATAGTTTGCTTTTTATTTTAAAACGTTAAAGGAAAAGATTATTCTATTTCATTTATAAAAATTGAAGTACAATGCCAGAAAATTCTAAACCATCCATTTGCAAAAAACTCCCCCTAGCTTGTTAGTAATTTTTGAGTATTCAGCAAACAAATGTGCACAGTTACCATAGTTAATTATTACTTTGTATGCCTGAGCATATTAAAATACCACATAGTCAATGGAAATAGTTTTTTATTGGTAATGTACTCAGATTATGTATGAACCTCACATTTTCTAAGCATCTCTGAAAATACTCTTTTAAGTACGTTAAAAAAAATAGGTTGGGAAACATTTTATTTGTATATTTTCAAAATATGTATTGCATGTTTCCCATGTGCCAGGTATTGTTGTAGACACTGGGATACAGCAGTGAGGGGAAAATGGGTAAAAAACACTTTCTTGATCTTAAACCTAATGCTGAGCATTTGAAAACAGTGTCTTTCTTAAAGTTATTTTTATTTTTTTTTTTTAAGATTTTATTTATTTATTTGACAGAGAGACACAGCAAAAGAGGGAACACAAGCAGGGGGAGCAGGAGAGGGAGAAGCAGGCTTCCCACGGAGCAGGGAGCCCGATGCGGGGCTCGATCCCAGGACCCTGAGATCATGACCTGAACCAAAGGCAGACGCTTAATGACTGAGCCACCCAGGCACCCCTCTTAAAGTTATTTTTAAATAACAGTTTTAGTATTTGAATAACTCAGGATTTTCTTTTGAGCTCCATTTCATTTTGAGGTTTTTCTGTCAAATAAAAGTGAAACTAAGAATGAATCATAACATAAGATATGTGGGGCTAGTCCCATGCACTGCACGTCCTGCCGAAGTCTGCTTTTGAAATTGCTTTCACAGAGACCTTTATGTAGTAAAATTACAATATTAGTAGTACATATAATTTATGGGATTCTGTCATTTTTTTTGCTGTGAAATAAAGTTTATGTAGACATTAATGGAAATGGTTAATATTACTTGTTTGTCTTGTAATTGGTTTTGTATGAGACAAGCAGCTTTCAACTATCTGCACAAAATGTTATGGGAAGAATATAAAACCCAAAGAATATTAAACAATTTCTTATTATTTAACATTAACTTAAAATATCCTAGTGTCTTGCTCAGATCTTTTTCCTGACTCAGACCCACTCTTGGCCTCCAGCCGTGCTGGAGGCAGCAGAGAAGAGTTGATGATCATTGGTTACGATGAGCTAGGGAGGCTCTTCCTCCCTCCCCCAAAATAGATTATCCTTGTCTCAGAATTGTGTCTAGGTTTAAACCTGTCTGTTTAAACCCAGAATACTAATGGAAAAATCTCTCTCATTTCCCTTTAATAGATGAAGCACAGGGTGATAAAGCCAAGCAAAGTATCAGGGCAAAGTGTACAGAATATCTTGATAGAGCAGAAAAACTAAAGGAGTACCTGAAAAAAAAAGAGAAAAATCCACAGAAGCCAGTGAAAGAGGGACAGCCAAGTCCAGCTGACGAGAAGGGGTATGTATTTTAGAGTGTTAGATTTTATCATATCTAATTAAAAGATAAAATGACATTTAATTTGTGAAATCAGTTTCTTTTGTTTAAACAAGGTGTTGGCAATCCATGACTCATAGGCCAAATCTGACCTGCTGCCTGTTTTTGTAAATAGTTTTATTGGAACATAGTCTCTGATGTCTAAAAAATGAAACTCTGGGATGGAGTTATCTGGCCTGGTTGGATTTGAGGCAGGAGGTTCTGGTTCATGTTAGAGGATGTGATACTCATAGTTCATGGGATGCAGTGGCACAAGGTACTTAGATAACCTCCTGTGGTCACTAGGAATGGAGTGTCTTTTGAAGGCAGTGCTTCAGGGCCTCTGTGGCTATTACCAAAGGCCATTTTGAAGGACATAGGAATGTAAGAACTAGAGTCCACAATAGCCAAACTATGGAAAGAGCCAAGATGTCCATCAGCAGATGAATGGTTAAAGATGTGGTGTGTGTATATATACAATGGAATATTATGCAGCCATCAAAAGGAATGAGATCTTGCCATTTGCAACGACGTGGATGGAACTGGAGGGTGTTATGCTGAGCAA